TGGGCGGCGAACTGCTCAAGTCATGGTTTCTCTTTTATTAATCAATCAACAAGCGCAACGACCTCCCCGCTCCATATTCGATGCTGAGACTTTGCCTAGGCAAAATAGTTAGCCACACGGAGCGTGCGTATAACCACTGTTCCTGGTGTCAATGTCGGCGAGCAAAATTGCCCAAGAGTTCGTGCGGATGAGGAAATCCGGCATTCAGCAACTCGACTACGTGTGATGGGCGTGGTAGCTGATACTTTTGGCCGGCACGCAGGCGCATGGCAAATGCCTACTTCAACACCTGGCCAGTTGAACTTGGATGCACTCAAGAGCTGCCAACTGTGATAGGCATGTAACGGCTCAGCATACACATCCTATAACTACTGTAACACCTAGGCGATCTACTAGCCTTATCGGACTCTGTCCCTGATGATGGATTCGAGTGAGAATCCGAAACGTCAGGCTAATAAAGCTCTTGTTTCAGCAATCGTGCCTCCTTCGCAACTTAGACTGTATACCATCCATAATGCATGTCATGAGCCAATGTGGCGCCTGTTATGGTTTAGCGCAAAAACGGAGCGGCCAATTTGAGAGGCCAGGTAACACGTCTACAAGAGTTCGTGGCCGTAACTAGCTGGGCCAGTCATCGTCTATAGAGGAAAAGGGTAGACCTAGGGAAGGAACAATATATGATCTCAAGGGATTTGTGCGCTCTTCAACAGCAAACCGATTAGGAGTTTGCCGTATTCGATACTCTTCTATTGCAACCACTTTCCCTAGAACATGTAAGCGCGCTAAACAAAAGAAGAATCAGGAGGGACTCACGCGTAGTATACAACCCGTGCCGCGTAGTCGTGCTGTTCGAGAATATTCACGTCCGTGGCGCCCGCGTCGACGACCTGACTGCAAAATAACAGTGTTCGGAGGATTAAGTAAATATATATGCCCAAACAGAGGGAGGGACGAAGAAGGAGGCGCAGCGGAAAAAAAAAACAGAACGTACTTCTCCACGCCTTTTATTATGTCACTCATTATGGTGGTCATGTCGTCGGGCGGCTGGGAAAGGTTGTCCTTCGGACTTGGCGGTCTATAAAGAGGAAGAGTAGCAGGGAGTAACAGCTAGCAAAGGCTGGAATCAGTGCATATGCGAGGTCGCACCCTGTAGTCTGCGAGACAAGCGACAGTCACAACACACCGACATTCCCACAATTACCGACGTCATTGTCAGCATTGTCATAATAACTATTTACTGCACAGCAGCATTATCACAAACACCGCCAGCCACCGCAATCATTAATATCAGCAAGAGGAGAACGACTGTCTTCATGTTCTTCGGCTGTTAGCTCATGAAGTGGAATTGCAGGGAGGCGCATGTCTGGCCGGACTTTGTTTACTCAGGTCGACGCAAAACGAAAAAGCAAATGTCCAGACAATGGAACCGCTAGAAGCCCTTTGAAGCAGAATCTACTAGCAATCTGTCACTGTTTTCCACCGTTTCCACAATTCAACCCATTAATTCCTCAGCATTGCCTCTTGATGATCTCTCCCATCCTCGAAGGACTGTTCCATTTCGTTCGGCGTGAGGATAAAGGAGCCTCCAATGCCGTAAGGCGCTTTTTAAGGAGGCAAATAATGAGAAAGGTACAGGACAGCTTACCAAAGTGGGTGCTTCGTTCCGCATATGCCACCTACTTCAATTAAAACGCTCTATTTCTATAATTCATATAAAGAGCATGAGTTCTCCCGAACATAATATGCTCGGAAACGCGTGAACAATTGGTTTGAATACATTTTGAAAGGTTACCTTGGTAAGGGTGTCGCGCTGACTGGCATTAAAAAACCGTAAGTCTATCAAGATACGACAGAAGCCTGGATTCTGACCGAGCATCTTATTCTCGCGTGAGTCACACAAAAGACTACTAAATTCGGGTGCATTTTCCGTTGACCTTGGGGCTGTCTAGATTCGCTCATATAGCTCTTTAAGGAATTCATAAAAGCTATTTTCTATTTTGATCACGTAAAAAATAACCTTTTTAGAGCTCTCCCTTGAAAAAATGGCATTTCGGTCGTTAATATTTTGTAATTATGGGAATTTTTGAAATGTTTGCATGTCTATTTGCGGTTTTCAATCCGTAGGGTTAAAATGACGGTTTCGAAGTTTACTAATCATTCGATAAATACTGCAATGCCTTATAGGCTTCGGTATTTCCTACATAAGCACATGAAGAGACTCATGGTCTTTTAGGGAGAATTACAGAGTATGGAGTTTGGGACCCTTACGACAAAGGGAGAAAACAGACTGGGCTTCAAAAGATCAAAATGGTGAAATGCTCCGATTTTTCAAGTGAAGAGTGTACAGACGACGGAATTTCGGGAAAACGAGCACAAAAAATGGAATTTAATTGAATTAACACAGTCATCAAAATCCATTAAACGCATATCTGCAGCCGTGTGTGTTTACTTTGTATTTCATTTCATGCTGATCAGCATTCCAAGGTTACTGACGCGCTCTCTGAATTAAGAAACGGGTGTCTGGTGACTTCGGCCGATAGTTGGAGAGTTTCGCCGTACACTGTTGACTTAAAGACTCTGAAGGACACTCGAGGCATCCAAAGTTTTTTGCCGCGTGCTCGAGCAGGGGGAAATATACTTGATCAACAATCAATTTTGTAACGCTTAACTTGCCTGAAATCCCAGTCACAAACCACATAAACCTGACCTCGTAGCCCATAGCACGAAGGCGATGGATTTCGACTGGTTTCTCGAAACCGTTGAAGACCAAATTAGTTAGCCTCAGCCTGGAATATCCTTACCTGATAATGACAGACCAACAAAAGGCCCGTCTTCATCTCTCAGACTCGGTCATTCGTTTAGATCGCTTAACTTCCACTGATACATGGAGTCTCCCGACGAAATTGGTCTCGACACCGGGACCAATGGAGTCGGCGACGATGAAGTCCCTGAACACATGGAAATACCTATTCTTTCGTATTATCTAACATAAGTGGGCACGAGCGGTTTAACTCACAATATCGTGGCTGTATTACCCCGCATGTTGGAAACTGGCTGATAGTGGAAGTCTCTCGACAGTCGGAACCGCCGTGTACAACAGGGCAGAAGACTAAACAGTTCAGTAGGTGCGAAACATGGGGAACTGAGAGTGACGAGCGGTCCACAAAATAAGGAGTTACAGAGATTACAACCGCCGTATAACATTTATTACCTCTAACACCCCCCCCCCATCACGAACCGTTAGACGGTGCACTCTCAACGAAGAAAGCAATTTACAGTTTTGGACAAGTCTCTGAATAAACTTCCACTTCACTTTTAAATATGCCTCTACAGAGTGCTCCGAACGATTCTACAACGTCCGCCAAAACCCTGTTCTATTGGTGCGGGAAAATATTTATTTCGTGGGGTTACTTGTTGTGCACCTCAAGTCAGAAGACTTTGTTTACCAGCACTAGGTGGGCACTTGTTTTACTCTCCTAACGTTGGTAGCTTTCGGCCTAAAGCGGCTTGCGCCTTTACGTACGGCACTACACGATCTGAAGGGGAGGAGCCATGACGACTGACCATCTGGCCGGTCGTCAGTTTTCATGGTGTGCTGCGAAGCGCACAATTATCCGCCGGTTGGTAGAAAATAACGAATTAATGTATGCTTTTGGCTTTTATAGGGAAAGTGCAGGCGCAAAAATCGTCAACAGTTTTTTAGTCATCAGGCAAACTTCCGTGAGCCGATGAAGACAGCAAACAAAGCACTATCGAAAAACTTGTGATTTTAATAAGGAAATGAGCGGGAGTGGCGACTCACGGAATTTCAGTAGGTTGCATGGAACTGTATGAGAGCGACTCTCTGTGGAGTAGATGTTGTGTTTCAGCCTCCGAATCCTTTCGCATAGTTAGAAAGATCAAAATATTAAGGGGACGAATACACATCATGATGGAAAACAAGACTTCTGCGTCAATTACAATTAAAACTTTCCCACCATTGTCAAAAGACGATATTTATACGGAATCGGGAATGCAAAGAGGAGCCGGACCTACGCGCTCCTGTTCTAGAAAAACGCTTCTGTGATGAAACGCTAAGATGGGAAACCTAAGAAACACGAGGCAGGACAACCGAATCTCACGCGCCCTTCGAAATTGCTGATCAGTAAGATTGTACCATGTAAACAATCTTGCACAGGTTCTAAAAAGGTCGAAGTAACAGATACCCATAGCGCTCAAGAGGCGGGCACGTAATTAGTATCGACTCCCACACAATGGTCGTGTGGGATGACGGAAGAGTGAAATTCACTGTAATAGGGTCAGGCTTAAATCAGTTTTAGGAGGCATAAAAGATAGTACTGGCATTAATTCGGGTAGATTCCACTCAAACCCGGTATTTTACACTCACACACGTTATATTTCACAAATATTTATGTCGCGGTACGATCGCAAAGTTGGCGAGGAAGAACTTTAAAAAGGAGTGCCTACTAAGCTATCAACGAAACTTTCAAGGATATTAAATAACTAAGCCCCGATCAGACCAAAGTGGTAGACACCAAACCAAAGTAAGAAGGCTTTCGGCTTTATACGAGACAAACAATCAATACACCGAAGAGCACACTAAAGTTGGGCTATTCTTTACAGAGATTCAGTATCATGACCATCCAAGAGGACTATTTCCTACCCCGCGGGACTTCCTTCACTACTCTGTATTTCGATGGATAAGGATGCCAGAAAACCAGAGAAGCGTTAGCAACGCAACGAGGACGCCTAAGAAAGTTTTTACACTAACTCAGGGGCATAAAACATGTAAAAACACAAATGCTGAATTCGCTTACTTGGGAGTGTTCTTCATTTTCGCTACCTTTACAGCAGCAAAGGTTTCCCATTGCACTAATAAACCGTGGAGTAAGTGGATGTTTGAGAGGACACCGCAGAGAAAAAATAACACGTGCTGCATATAGGGTTTATTTAAAAACTCAAAGAAAACAAGGCAGGTACAGGATCCCACATAGGCGGAATTAGTGACCATATCTAGAAATAAAAAGGATTAGGCAGAGTAAAAACAATCCGAACTTTTGAAATTCCCAGTCTCTGTTATCCAGAGGGCAAACTTGACGCGTCTTCAGCCAACGTGAAATACAATGGAAGTGGAAGGCATGCTGGAAAAGACAGAAAATAAAACAAGGCACGTTACATTGCAATGACCCCAGGCAACAGTGCATTCTTCTGTGTTCTCTGATGCGTGATTTGCCTGGCATTCGATGCCTACACAATGAGGAAAATGACGGAATGGGAGAAATACAGAGATCCATGATGTGGTTACGACATATGGCGCAATTGTCTACCACAATATCCCATGCCCAAAGAGCAACCGCGTTCCACTTTTTAATCTCGAATCGTTTCGATCCCGTGGCAGTTGTTGTCTGGACAGGAGCTTCGTCAACATCCATCGCAGACATTATCGTTGGAATAAACACTGGTCCCAACCTGCCGCCTTGTCAAAGGTTAAATCAAAGTCTGTGAGGAAGTCCAGGTTCCCGTCCAGACTGGGATACTCAAAGGTAGTCAGGGCTGTAGTCCATAACTAACTGCTAGAACTGCTTTGGGTGATCAGCAAAAACGTGTGGATGTAAGTCAGGACGGAAAAAATAACAGCAGGGAAGCGGATGCCTTTACTGAACTGGCCGACGTCAGGGGCTGAAACAAATAATAATAACCACATTTTCTCAGTCTATCCACCTGTTAGCAAAAAAATAAATTTCCCGATGTACTGTTGAGCGACGTGATAAGTTTGAGTTTTCAACACACTAGGATGGTCTTCAGTGGGAATCATCATCAGGACATAACTGTTGTGTAAATATGTGTATGTTTTTGTAGCTGCACACCAGTATGACTGTATATAGTCTGTGAACTACAGATACCAAGTCAAATCCCATGCTGGAAAGAGAAGATGGAAGGCACTAGAATGGTCGGTTTAATATATACTGCACCCACAGCTGTCCTCTCAGGCGGCAGTGGCCACTGGCGAAGCCATGGCTCCTACTGACTGCGTCCAGTCTTGCCTGAGATAGTGGTGGCAAAAACTGCTGTAGGCTCGTGGGCCAAGCTCAAGTGGTGGTCGGTCAGCGTGTGTTGCCTTTGTCGAGAGGTGGCGTCCCAGTGCCTTCGGTTGTGATTGCAGGGGGAGGTGAGTTCAAGTGGCCGCAAGGACAGCTGCTGCTGTGCGGACGCAGGTATGCCCGAGCTGTCGTTCGTCTGCCTCCATGTCAGCGCGTTTGGAACGGTTTACTGAAAAAGGGTTAGTGACCTTGAGGCAGCGAGGTCTTAAACAATGACGCCGGGCAGGTCATGATATCTGCCAGCTACACTTTTAATCCGCATAGATGTATTTACAGATTTGTAAATAAGGTTTCCCTAGGCTCTGTCTATCTCCCCCGTATATACTGAGTTAGAAGTAATTGCGGACGCCTCACAAATGTGCTAGGCAAATGCAGAACCTCGATGAAACACGTTCCCGGGCTTTTAGCTAATATATGTGCCATCAATGTGGCGAATCGTACAACAGGTTTTTATAATTTTTTATTGCAACTCTGAGATCGATATGCTGGTTTCACCAACAGTATTCCGCAATTTCGGGAGCCAGCTGTGGGCAGCAGATGTTGTGCTTGTGATGTGTTAAGACAGACAACTGTTCTCATCGCACACATTTTTCGTAAATTTATTTAATTTGCGTATGCCGAGTGAACTACCTTCTACTGATGGGACCCAAGGGATCTTTAATAAAAACGTTATTGTAAATTCTGTTTACCTTAGTATGTCGTAAGAGTCTGTGCTGTACTTGAATGGCTGTATATAATAATAATAATATTGAATGCCAGTTTACAGGCATTGTCAAGGGAAGCGTTAAACACAAATCCGACCAGCAGTGAAAAAACTCCTGTAAAAAAGGAACAAAAATATAGCTGATGGTGGTTTTTATGGTTTGGAGGGTTCATGAGATAAAACTGCTGGCGGCAGACATTCGACCGTCAAGAAGGGGGGGGGGGGTTACACCGTATCGGAGATTATAGGACGTCAGTTCCTTTCATGAAGTTGGGGCTAGTCAAAGTAGAGGCGTTGAGGAACAGCTGTCGCTGTTGGCCAACGAAACTGTCCCTGGTGAGATCGGGCATAGAGTTCAGAGACCACAAACGCCATCGCTACGGTAGAGTCGATCAGTGGATTCAGCACCCAAAATTTGAAGGAGCTTCTCTGAATGCAAAAATCGAGTAATAGTTCTCTTAAATAGAGGATAATTTTGCAGAGTTTTCACACTCATGGGTAGTTTAATCCAAATAGCAATTGCATTTACAGAATAGAACCGACGATATTTAACAGTACGTGACAGAGGAAGAAATAAAAAGGCCTCACGGTGACTGTTACGTCGTGCGTGGATATGATGTCGTAAAGAGTTGAGTGGGTTAAATGTGCGATTATATAAGAGTTTAAATAGCAAAAATAGCCCCTTTTGTAATCTACGGAACCATAAAGGATCAAAGCCCGTAAGCCGGCAACGTTCTTGGTAAGACAAATGTCGGTGTTCCGGGGTTAAAATTCTCTTGGTAAAAAAGTGTTGAACGGATTCTATTTTCTTCCGCTCAGTAGCACGCATGAAGCTAAATAAAAACGAACAGTATTCCAGACCAGGTCTAACGTACATGTTGTAAAGGCGCATTCTGATGCTCCTAGTTTTAACGTTTCGGAGGATAAACCCGGTCGTTCTGCGTGCTTTGGAGACTACCAAGGCGCAGTGCTCCGGGAGATTGAGACTCTTGGAGTCTGATACGCCCAGATCCTTAATAACCCCAGGCACATTTATGGCGTGCCCTTCAATACTTATTTGAGGTTGGCGGTCGTCGCCAACCACCATGACTGAGCACTTATGCCGAGAAAGAGAAAGGCGCCATGTGCGGCAGCACTGGGCGAAAGCCTGTAGATCGCTCTTAAGGCGCTCGAGCACGATGTCATGATCTGCCGACCTGAGATCATCGGCATACATGAAAGGCTTACCATTCTGAAATAAATCGGGCACATCATTAACGAAAAGGCAAAATCAAAGTGGGCCGAGTACACTACCGTGAATGACTCCACTCCTCACATGTGTGGGGTTAGAGATTGTACTGGAAATCTTAACACGTTGTGTACGAGTGCCCAGGCAAGAGGTTATACATTTAAAAGTTTGCCACCTATTCCGAAAGAGGACAGTTTCAAGAGAAGAAGAGCATGGTCAACACGATCAAAAGCCTTAGTGAAATCGAAATATAGAGTGTAAAGTGCAAAACCATTGTCCCTAGATTATAGAACATAGTCAAAGAAAGAGAGTTGACAGGTGTCACAAGGCCGACCTTTGAGGAATCCATGCTGAGCCGCACTTAGTAGGTTATTCACTGTTAAGTGGCACATCATCTCATCTTTGATCAATGTCTCTAAGTTCTTCGAAACTGCGGGGAGGGTGTTTATTGGCCGAAAGTCATCAAATGACATAGATTTGCCGTGCTTAGGAATGGGCAAAATGTGTGATTCCTTCCACAAGGTAGGATAAGTTTCAGTTTCAAGAGTAAGATTAAATATCTTGCATAAGAGGGATGGGAAAATCGTATTTGCATCGGCCTTTAAAATGCTTACTGGGACACCATCAGGTCCTGGACTATAAGATTGACGAAGACGCCGAATCGCAACAGTCACATCCCACAGAGTGAAAGTTATAGTTTCTAGAACTGCTCCCGTCAATGGCTGGATGGTCGGAAGCGGAGTAGTCGAGTCTTCAAAAAACGTTTTGGACAGGAAAGCATTGAAGCTACCAGCGGTTAACAGGGCATCAACTGTGGGATTTCCGAGAGCGTCTCGGTGGATGGGATGCTGCGTCTTTCTGTGAGTTAGTATTTTTCTAAAGAAAAGTTTCGAGACACTTAACGAATGGTTTTCGGTAAACTGAATCTCCTCGGCTAGCTGTTTTTCTTCAGACAATCTCTTAGCCCGTTCAAAAATATCACAAATCAAGGGCAGGACAGAAACGTCGTTCTGAAGATGGAATCGACGATTCCCGGGTGCCGGAGTTTTACTGTGAAAAATGGAGAGTGGCAGATTACTTCTTTGTTTGCGGGATGCACTCTTTAGGAGAAGACCGATATTGCAAAGGGGGGGGGGGCTAAAAACGAGAAAAAGGGGCATCCCACGCATATTTTTTTCATTGGTTATGCTGGAGGGAGATAGCTTTGTATGTATAAGTTATAGAGGCAGAGACTTGGAAAACCCTATTTACAGATGGACGCATAAGAATCAGACATATATTGATACAACAGTTATGCCTGTCATTAATATCGGGTAAGTATTTGACCATCAATCCTAAATTTATCAAGTTTTTTTGAAGGTTGCAACATCTTCCGCCGAGGCAACGGAGTTCTGCAATTTGTTCCATCTTTCTACCAGCCGGTGGGACAAGAGTTTGTCCCGCAATTTAATTTTGGCATACTTTACCTTCAATTTGTTTTGGCGGCCTCGAAGATTGTCGTTCGCGCCAGTTCGAAGAAATCGTCAAACTGAACAGCATAGTTTTGCCCACTGGTGATCCTAAAGGCCATGCTCATATCCCCTCTGTATTGTCTATAGGAGAGAGGAAATATTTTTAGCATTTCCAGGCGTCTCTCATAAGGTAATCAACTTAATCCGCCGACCAGCTTGGTTGCTTTTCCTTGTACGTTCTCCAGTAGGGTGTAATCTTGTTTCGTCCATGCACACAATGCCTGAACGCAATATTCCAACGAGTTTTGACACTTCCTGAATCTCCTGGTGACATCCCGAAAGAGAGGGTGAAACACTATCTGCTGACATTTAAAAGCCTACTGAATGACAACCAAGAACCCGGTGAGGTGTCTACCGACCTCCTAGGACAGACCACATCGTCGGCACTCAACTATTGGAGCAGTTGGAGAAATTTTCCAGTCGACCTAACATCATGATCATGGGCGACTTAAACGCACCAGGAACAAACTGGAACACCCTCCAATCGTCAGGTCCAAAATCGTCATTCGATTACCGTCTGCTGAACAAAACATTAAACGCGACCCTCACACAACATGTAATGTTCCCAACGAGAACACGTGAAGGAGAAAGGGCAAATTGCCTGGATCTGGTCTTTACGAAAACACCAGACAGCATAGACGAAATCACCTCCATGCCGCCCCTTGACCGAACTGATCATGTAGTGCTTATGTGGGATTATTCGTTATTCTCCATTTCGCATACTACAGACCAAAAAAGACGTAAGGTTTGGCGGGGCAACTTCAATCAGATGAGGGCAGACTTATCCGGTCTCGACCGGGGTTCATTGTTTACGGGAAACGCCAAAGATGACTGAGAGCTGTTCAAGAATGTCCTTCTGCAGCTCATCAACAACCACTGTCCACTGACTAGTGTAAGA